GTGCTTAGTTTAAAATTGCTGAAAAGATTTTTGTGACATCAAGCCTGTCAGATCGCTCTAGATTCTGGAAAAACTAAAGGCATCTTTGATTGCTCTTTTTGCTCCGTACAGATCTACCCTGACCTTACTTAGACATCTTTGGCCAATACGAGTCCCGAGTTCAGCTGCGAGAGATCATTTGTTCCACCTAAATGATAGAAATGCATTTAGTGCAATCTCAAAGGAGAACATTGAACTTCTTTGCGTCGATTTAGAAACAATAAAAATCAAGAAGAAGTTGCCAAAGATAGCATTTTCTGACAACCTAACTCACACCTTCAGTAATCAAATATTTTTTTCTATATATATTTTTCTTCCATTGCACACACAATGTTTACATTTTCCTTAACTGTCGGTATGAAAACTCTATGCATTTTTCAGTTTTTTTATGAATATTGAAAAAATACAGAAACAGGAAAATAATATGCCTGCAAAATTGACAATGATTAAACTTTATGTCATAAAAATTGCATTCAATTTATCCCAAGTATGATTTAATTTTAAGAACAGATGATCATGAGCATCGGGATGAAAAAAAAAAAGAATGGAGTGTTTCCCTCGGAATTGTTTTCCGAGTCTGTTTTACGTAATTTAATTTCAGGAAAATTGACCTCCTATTGCGGGCACCAGACAAGTAATAGAATCATGCTATAGAGCGGCCGGTTGAGTTCCAGTGGTTGCTGAACTGAACTACAGATTGCCAGCACCCAAGTCTGATCGATTGAGTTAGTTAATGTAGATCTCAGGGACTGATAATCGAATCATTGCAAAACGTGGTAACAGACTTTGATGGATTACTTTCTTAAATTTGTCTCTGAAATGTTTTTTTTTTCTATTTCGGTCAATTGATGACACTTATACCTCTCAATAAGATATTATCTTCGTCTAAGACTTAAAGATACTTAAACTTACTCTTTTTTAATTGTGCTTAAACTAATTTAATTGCAGTTGTGTCCTTGACTTTGATTCACCAGGACGTCTTGCAAGTAGGGCACAGCGCATGTACATATGTCTTCTTTTTCATCGCAAAATAGGCTTACATGTATTGAGAAAATTTTGACGTGACGTCTCAAGAATTGATGGACCCCGTTAGGTGGACGTCATACGATGAAGCGATGATGGAAATTTCGGCGATAGCTGAATGAAGCATTCGATTTACAACAGAGTTCTTACCAGTACTGTCACCTTTTAAGATTTCCATCTCATCTCTCGATCCGATGAAGTATTTTCAACAGTATGATTAAAATCGAATTAGGTGCCATACTTTTCATTTTGTTTTTAAAAACAGAATATGGATCACAACAAACCACAGCATTAACGTCCACATCTTTTAAGCTTCAAACAGGCCATCATCTTTATGAGAATGTCATTTTGGTCACCGCTTAATGGGTAATTTAAAAGGCATTTGTTATAATGCCCATCACAGCCTTAGTAGCGTTTAAACGCCTTTTCGAAATTCAGAAACACATATAGAAACACATATATTCTGATTTCATTCTATATCCAGTGTATCCCGTTAATTCAAAGCCAGATACAATACAGGATGAACTTTGCACACTCAATCTGGGACCAAGTCTGTGACCGACCTCTCAGTTATAAGAGAGATGTCTGATCATGTAGCGGTCTATCTCTGGATCACGGAGCTGAAACAATTAATATTCCAATCAGATAAATCGGTTATCGTACTAGGATAGATGAATGCAACTTCTGATTTAGAACTAAGTTCATGTTTCTGCTAGTAGTCACTAGTCCTTGACTAACTCATGCGTTCGTTTAATCCAACTGGGAACGACCCATTTCATCTGGCCGACTGCTTCTAGTTTGTAATATCAAAATGTCATAATAATTCATCATCGCGGCCAATGAATGACAACTTAACCATTCAATTATTATTATCAGAAGAAACTCAAGGCTAATTACTTGACTAGCGATTGACCTCAACTACGGTCGCGGCGGTTATGAGAAGAGCACCCGCCAGGTTCTCTACCTTTGCTACATCGGACGACCCACTGTGATGAACGGGTCTGACATGTGGCAAGACAGAGCGGCCCAGCTGAACTGGAAACGCAGCCGTCTAAAACTAAGATAAAAGTAAAATTGTGATTAAAACTCGCACTGCAGGAAGCTTACGATCGAAACGGAGGTTGATTCGTTTTAGATTTGTCACAGGGCTTTCTTGATCTGATGAACTGATGTTGAGTGGTTACCATTGTCACGAGATGCCAATCTGCAAGGGATGTCCCTAAATGTAAACTACAGTATGAGAGATGATGATAATTACATCTTTTTTTTATTTTTTAAAGACTACTGGGTGAACCACAACTTTCATTTTGACATCCTGATAAAAGTATATCACCTCTCGTGAAATACCACGAGACACTGACAATCCGTTCCATTCTTGGCCATATTTATATGTTAATGGCACCAGTACACACAAATGTACATCACGATCCCGTGAAATAATACAAGCCTCAAAGGCTTTAAAATACATTACAGTCCCGTGATATAATTCGACAAAACTAGATAGAAAGATAGATAGATAGATAGATATAAGAAGAAGGCTACGAGGAAAAGCCACAAGAGCGAATAGCGCGTATTGCTCTTTAACAAATTTTATTTAAATGGACTTGCATTTCACAAGGATAAATCCTGAAAATGAAAGAAGGCTGCATAAAATCAAAGTAACCCAAAAGCATCGATGTCAGTACAAATTTACATGAGTTTTTTTTTTTTTTTTTTTTTGCTTCATATACATGACTTTCCATCGCCAAGGGTATGTTTCCATGGGAATGTTACGATGCAGGTTATCTGCCAGTGCCAGACTGTAAGATTGCAGCTAAATGTCATCGGCTGCGCTCGGAGCTGAGACTTATTGACTGTGCATCTTAACTTCTGTTCTTCGATATACGGTGAACAATTATTGGGATATTACCACTCGAAAAAAGGCAATAATTCTTTGTCATTTTAGCCAGCACACGTGCCCCATGTCTGTTTTTAAACATTTTGGGCATGAAACGCCAGCGTGAAAGGTAACTGCTGTGTGTGAGTGGTTGCTATCTGCATGCTCTCTTAATGAGCACTTATAAATTGAATCCACTAATACATTCAGTTTGTGGTGAACGATTTCTTTAAAAGAGTACATCTGACATTCCATCTCTGCATTTCAAACACCATATCAGGTAAATGTTGCGGTGTAAAACAGTTGACACACCCTGTAGCTGGGGTGAAATAATGGGTAAGAGGACACACTATCACAGTATTTGCGATAGGAAGAAGGCCTTTGCTACACTGAAAACACCTGACAACCAGGGTAGCGTGTAATGGGCCATTCCGATAATAGTGGCACTACATAAAGACCGTCTGTAGAATGACAGATATATCACTTTCAACAGAAGCAGATAGCAATATCACTTCATTTGCCCTTTTTCAATTAACAGAAAATACATTCCATGTTTTTATTGCCGGTCGATTCCCACGGGAAAGAATTAGCGACCGAAGGGCAGACGTTAGATGTGCTCGATGATGGTTTTGAGTAACGGCAAGGAGTTCAGTTGCCTAATATATTTTAGTTATAACCTATGTTTTCATTATGAAGCATGGGTTTTATATTAAAATCAACTTGCATTTTGACCTAAGGAACAGATTGGCCAGTTATTGTAATGGTTGAGGTCATCCCTTAACAAATTAAATGAGCCTAGAGACACCTAGAACATCGGCATTGGGACTCTGTACACTGTGTAAAGGATACCCGTTGGATTTGTGTCTACATAATTTCTGTTTAGTAACATCACTTTTTAATCAATTTGTCATATTTCAGGCAGGTAGTTTCAAGCCATAACGGAAAAAGTAAAACCAATAACCAGAAGCCTCTGGGTATACAACAGTGGTGATAATGGACGCACCCACAGCACTTGAACTTAAACAAGCAGTGGCATTATTTGATTACTTTCTGGCATGCAGAAATGCTCTTAGTCGTGGTTCATAGCTTAGTTCAACGGGCAGGCTATTGGCAATGGAGAGCGGAATATGAGTGGAAAAGTACTTGACACACTCGAACACTTTGGGTTCGCAATAATTATTGCTCTTTGCTTTTAAAAAATGATTTACTGCTTTGGCAATCAGAGCATCGACGCATCTTCGGCACCATGTGACGTGTGCATGGTGTACTTAGAGATGCAATATAAAGCGAGTACTTTGTCGGGTTATTACCACTAGGCCCTATCAAATGCCACCATAGTGTTTCAGATAGTATAGTTTAAAGCAATACCATAGGTTACGAAACATTATTTCCCGAAAATTTTTTGAACAGATTTTGTTTTGTTCTTTACTGTTCATTACGGGCTGGTGAAAAAGTAGGTCAAATTTACGACCAGAAATTTGCAGAAGATGCATTTTTAAAGACTTTTCTATTCCCTTCTGAATTCGGCTGGTTTTATGTTGCAGGTGTTCCTTGCGTTGTGTAAGAAACTGGTAATCAGAATTTAAATACAGGGCATTTATTCTCGCTTCATATGTCAAAAAACACTTTAATCGAGAAAAGTGAAATTTTTGCCGATAAACGACAAATTAATATTATTTGAATAGATTGAATTAGATTAAAACATCACTGTTTTGAGGGGTTTCTCTTACCCTTAAGTCGTCTATCAAGAGCGCCTCTTTCACAATAGAAACAGCAAGTTATCGCCAATTTACGTCCTTACTGATGCGACATAACTGAATAGGCTTCAGCCACCTTATTCATCTACCAGGCGTCTGAGCTGCTGTTTCACTGAGCCCATAACACCATGAAGTAAAGGATATGTATACAAGGCTCTTAATCCCATACGATCACTGAAGCACTGCAAAACTAATTTGCTACCAGAGGCTGGTATCTGCACTTGCTTTTATCTTAAGGAATCTCTTCAATTTTTTCTTACTGGTCAATAAATTCAGCGTAATCAAACTTAGGGAATGCCACTTACCTGTTACAAGTATGATTATAACCGACTCCATTGTTCTATGTATACGGATTTTGTTCTGTTTTTGGATGTGAAATTTAGACGTCGACACAGGCAGTCAGAGCATCCTGCTTTCATGCGCACATTGTAATCACTAAGGCTAGTCGAAGGCAGATAAAGACTGCCGCTAGGTGGTGTAACAGTAAAATACAATAACGCCAGACTCGCCATGCTTGGGAAGGTGCCAAGGCAAGATTGGACACGCGATAGGCCGGCGTGGCAAAGTGTGATTTTTAATTGGACAACTAACACCGTGATGGAGACATTAAGCGAAATCGCCCTGATTGGTTCGTTGTTGCTTCTGTCGACCTATAGCCAGGGAGGTGGGGACACATTCAGTTATTCTGTCCAGCTCGGGGTGTTCTGTCTCTAGCGCTCTTATTCTTCTGTATGTGTGAGATAATGTGCTGACACCCCGTGGGATACATGCCAGAATACTTGTCAGCGAGAGGTGGTAGAGGAATATGTCGCAAGAGGGTGGCAGTACGTTGTTTGACGTAAAAAACCGAAAAAATGTACTCGCATTTCATCGAAAAACACTCCTATAACCAAATAAGTAAAGCGTATATCGCTACGGTCACATAACATTTAAGGTGTGTCTGTGTCCATACTGAGCGCACTGTCACAGACACAACAGTGAATGAATTTAATAAGAATAATAACACTTAAAGAGGAGACTAGTGGTATTCAGGCACATGATACTAGTACGCGTGTTGCTTTATCAAATTAAACAAAGACTCACTCAAGGCTCACTATCATCCCCTGAACATAAATCGTTAACTGTAAAGCGATTTTATTGCGTGGGATTGAACATATTACGCATAATTCACGAGGGGCCAAATCCTCTTATATAAGTTGGTAATTATTACTTTCAGGTCATTTAATTCTAACACTAAAGTTGATAAAAAATAACCCATCAAGCTCAAAACGGGCATTACGATACAAACGTGTAACGGGCATATGCAAAACACGTTAGAGATACTCCTTAAACGCAATAAAGAAATTAAACCCCATGTGAATTTTAGACTGGGTTCCCATACCTAGATTGATCTAACAGGATCGATCTATCTCTAAGGGGTTTCTTGCTAAATTGCTTTCAGCTTAAATGGCTAAGATGTCTGGCACGCCTGTTGAAGCTGCTAAACGATAGTTGATTACCCCCTAACAGCTTCAGTAGGCGTGGAAGACATCTAAGAAGCTTAAGTTGATAGCAATTTAGCGAGAATTTCCTTGGAGATAGATCGATCCACAGTTAGTACGATAGGGTCTGGGAATGGCCCCATAAACTCTTGTTGCTTTAAAAGTCAAACCTTGGACATAATAACGAATTATTATGTCCAAGGTCAAACCAACGCTTTGTAATTAGGAAGCACTGATATGAAAAGAAATGTATATCTGGGCCTGTGAAATATATGTCGTTGATAAGAAATGAAGACCTCTCAACATTTTAAGCTTGTCACAAATGTGTCTGCGTAACCGGATAATTAATCTGATTAAAAGCTGCCTATGCACTGTGCCAATCCCTTTTGTTCATGGGCTAACTATACGATGGCGCGGCGGCCTCGCGTGCTCCGTGCACCTGATGGATCCAATCCCCAGGGACGGTGGTATCGTGTCCGGATATGAAGCTGTCGGCACATCTGTCAGGCACGGGTTACTGAGAACAAGCGTACTGAGGTTATCCATGACGGGTGTTCAAAACCAATGTGGTATGGAGACGAATGAACATGCATATTTAACGCCTCGAAAAGTAGGGGATACACTGGCGTTGCAAGAGAACAGAGTAAAAGAAATCATTACCACACAGGAATTAAGTTGATTAAACATTAATTTAATGAACATCCCCTGCAATGATTATATACAGTGGCGCCTGTGAGAGGTCAGCTTTATCGAATATTATAGGGTCTAAATTCTAAACAAAGACATGGCGTGTAAACGGAGATTGAACTTAGCCCATGTAGGATGTTTTTTGGACGTCATCTAAATGTTGTCATGGCGATCATTCAAATAATTGTGGGTGCATGTCACATAATAAATTTGGCCATCAAACTGAGCAAGAAATTATAGAATTAAGAAGATATTTATCATTCTGGCACCAAACGTTCGCCAGTACAATCGGTACCCAATGAAAAAATTAACGTCACCGTATTAATATAGTGTTTCAATGCGTATGTGGTCTAAGGCGAATTTAGCTACTTGCATCTTTTGGGGGATTTGGAAGGGTGCAATCGTATTTCATTTAAGGTCCGACGAGAAAGCACCTAATTGCATTTTTCTTCGTACCATGCTTTGTTTCAATTCAAGCGAACAGTGTATCTTTTTCAGTAACTGGAAAAATGGCATATTCAGGTGCATTTCACTTCTGAAGTATTAACGTGGGCTTTGAACTCAATCACATGAAATCTCTAGCCAAATACATGTCTGGATTTGCGTGTAACAGCAGGGACTGCACTACAGTGCCGAAATTCTGGGAAAGGCTAGTCATCAAAATCATTACTAATTATTTCCCCTGGACATAGGTGTGATCCAAAACTTCAATAAGCAAGTATAACTGATTTTAACCTCATGACACTGGACCTGTGTGTATTTACACCAAAATACCTGCCTGCGGAGTAATTATAATCTCGTTCTATATTCTGGGCATATGTCGTCCACTTTCAAAGACACTAATATAATTAACAACGGCATATAATTAACAACATTGGCCACACCGAATATCACGATTTGTGGTTCGTGACCATGGGATCTTCGGTTTTATAGAAAAAATTCTTCTTGGCCGCTGGGAAATGAGACTGCTTTCAATCAGTAAGGACAGAAATAACCCTTGAGGGAAGGTCAACTAATCTGCACGAATTTCACAACTGCAAAAGCAGTGATGAATCAAAACGCCATCGACCCCGTGGACTAAATGCACTTAACAAGTGGACATATCTATAAACGGCAATGTCCTAATTACAAATATATTCCCATTGCTGCCGGTGGCCAAGATTGGTAAATACTTTACTCATGGCCTTAAGCTCACCATCACAGACATATTTAAAATTTATCTGCAACTCAAGCTTCACCAAAATGACCTATATGCTGTCGTCTTTTGGTCGTTTGGCCCAGAGGAAGTACACAACTAGTCTTCGCTTTCAACGTCTTGTTCCAGCATATATCATTTGCCGTGCCATTAATGATGCATGAATAGTCACTATCTTTTCAACACAAATGCCTGCGCGAACCATAGTCTGTAATTCATGGCACATTAACGGGCCTAAACGTTTCGCCGTTCCGACACATTTACCATATTAGGAAGACATGTTATTAATCAAGAGGGTTAGTGACTTATGAGTCTTTGCCAGAACGCTCTGATAAGCCGAGTTCTAAATTTTGAATTAATTTGAAAATTGTTAGAATTTTTCAAATACCATCATGCTTTTTTTTTTGTTTGAATATTTGTTTGATTACTAATAAAAAACAACCCCTGGACGCAATGATAAGACACTTAATATCAATTGGAGTGCAAACGTATGCCAACCCCAGTGACAAGCTTTTTGTTGGTACCGTTAGTTTAATGTAGGCACATCTTTCACGGGCCGAACGTATGACATGGGGAATTGAAATGAAAATAACCATATCACGACACGCACAGGGGATTTCACAGAATTAACTGGTTATTGATTTGCTCCGAGGCAGGCTGAACCATCGGAGACCCCATTGAAAAGACCGCAGGTATACATATGTCGCTGATGTATTAAATGCCGAAACGCCCTCTGTGTATCACTACGACCTAAGGCCAGTGAACACTCCGGGCTCAGGGCTGAGCTACAGACTACGCCATGTTTGACAGTTCATACCGGTTTACGACTGCTTGCCGATCAAAATATGCCATAGCTTTTTAAAGCGATTGCAAGCGACCGCCAGATTTTGTGGTTGCAAAAAGTGTTGGCCTTAACATTCACGTTATACGTTATAGAAGGCTATTCCATTAGATTAAATAAAGTAAATACTGGTCTGAGAGATTCACGTTATGCATAATTCACTGGGGGGAAATATCTGTTTTATACGTAATCAGCGATTACTACGCAGCTAATTTCCAATACATTTATTAATAGCTAAACCATCAAGCTTAACACAGGCATCACAATTCAATTATGTAACCCAAAAATTGGTCTTATCTTTTAGAACCAAAACCTGGTCTACTTAAGTTTAAGTTAAATCCACAGAAGTCGCCTTAAATAAAGCAAGTGTTGGCCTCAAACATTCGCGTTATAAAACAGAGTCAGTATTCCATTAGATTGGACTACAACCTATTTGTCCTGTGTCAACGTGGACAAAACATTTGGTCTAAAAGTTTAGAAAAGAATTCAGGCTAAAGGTTTTTTATGAGATAGATCCTGAAAGGTAAGTTGTGCGGGGACCTTTAACAAAGCCTTTTTATTGGCAAACTGTGTGTACAGGTCTGTAGAGAGACCGTTTGATTCCATTTATCTAACTCCCATCTACAATACCAGTTCGAGTATTCAATTGCATAACATGATCAGTTGATGAGGAAAAAATCATTAATCTGATATTAATGCCAAATTGATCTTTTTTGATCCATTCGAAGTGGTATTAAATGTAAAAAGTCATCCCATGCTCATTTAAATGTTCTGTATCCTCACTTAATTGCCAAAGAAACTTTTGTCAAGGCAAAACTATTCGGATACCCAGGGGTACATTTGGACCATTTAAAACAATCAGTACAACAGTTACTGTTTGAGTTTAAAACACTCGTAGAACGCCCCGACTGATGTGGTCCCTTGTTAATTTTGACCTGAAAGCAGCATTTAGATTAAACGATTGAGGTAAATTAAGATTTTTGAGCACCATTCAATTCCAACCAAAAAGAAGACACAAGAGGACTCCCATACAAACTGTGCCCGGGGGTCCACCGCTCACTCCTAAATGGTTTTTAATGTTCTTTCATAAGAGACATCGATGCAAAGCTTTTCATTATTGTTTCTAATGCTTCTTAGCAGCGTAATTGATAAAATTCCAATGGGATACAATTCAGGGAAAACATAAACAGTTTTGCTCTCGGTATTGATCCACCTATAATTGGATTCGTTGTTAT